CTGCAAGATGGCCATCTAGCACTTTCATAGCTGGAAAAGTCAAGCTTGTTAGGGCCAAGGCTCATGTATCATTCTGAAAAGCCCAGGGCCCTTAGGAATTCTACTCTGCCCGTGGTATAAATACAACAGCAAAGTCTGGATGACAGCACATCTGTTTATAATATGGCTTACTAAATAATTTTTTAAAAAATATTTACTTTGGGGAGAGCACAAGTGGGGGAGGGGCAGAGAGAGGGACAGAGGATCTAAAGAGGCAGGCCTCTGCACTGACAGTCTGACAGCGGTGAGCCTGATGTGGGGCTCAAACTCACAAACGGCGAGATTATGACCTGAGCCAAAGTCGGACGCTCACTGACGGAGCCACCCAAGTGCTCCTGGTTTACTGAATATTTTAAGCCCACTGCTGAGACACAGTGCTCAGAAAAAAAGATCTCTTTCAAAATATCACTGCTCAGTGACAAAGCATCCTGATGGAGATGTATGATGAGACTAATGTCTCATGCCTGCTAACACGACATCCATTCTGTTGCCTGTGGATCAAGGAGTAATTTTGACTTTCAAGTCTTAAGAATATGATTTGTAAGGCCAGAAAAGTAAACTGAAATCCTTCTGGAATTCCATTTAGCTGCCATTCATCGGTAGCAGGAGTTTGGAAGAAGTCACTGCAGATGCGCTGGCAATGGCAAGAGAACTAGAATTAGAAGTAGACGAGATGCGGGACGCCTGGGTGGCTCAGTCGGTTAAGCGTCCGACTTCGGCTCAGGTCATGATCTTGCTGTGTGTGAGTTCAAGCCCCGTGTCAGACTCTGTGCTGACAGCTCAGAGCCTGGAGCCTGTTTCAGATTCTGTGTTTCCCTCTCTCTCTGACCCTCCCCCATTCATGCTCTGTCTCTCTCTGTCTCAAAAATAAATAAATGTTAAGGAAAAAAAGTAGACAAGATGTGACCAAATTGCTGCAAGGGACAAGCTCACAATAAAACCGGAAGTGGATGACCAGAGAACTGGTTGCTTGAGGGGGATCCTACTCTGGGGAGAGGCCTGAAGACTAGAGAAATCCAGTTGGTGGATAAGATGCTATCTAACAGCATCGTGTGCTTTGGCGAAATTGTGACAGGAAGATCCACTGATATGGCAACTTCACTGCCTTATTTTAAATTTTTTTTTTTTCAAAGTTTTTTATTTTTTTATTTTTTTTTTATTTTTGGGACAGAGAGAGACAGAGCATGAACGGGGGAGGGGCAGAGAGAGAGGGAGACACAGAATCGGAAACAGGCTCCAGGCTCTGAGCCATCAGCCCAGAGCCCGACGCGGGGCTCGAACTCACGGAGCGCGAGATCGTGA